TGCTTCCTCTAAATTCCCCATGATTGATTTACCTTCACAGGGCTCTGAAAGGAGGAAACACACGATGAGATATTAAGCACTGTACCAAGATGGGTCTTTTCCACTTGTATTTGTCTGACAGATTATGGTATCTCGAAGTAATCTGCATTGATGGCATATACAATGAAAGTTTGGAATGGACAAAGTCCGCCAAGTTCATCTGCTCAGAGTCGTAATAAATTTCCCATTTCCAAGATAAAAAAATATATGAATCCTGCATATCCTGTATCCTGTATATAAGCCTTGTTTTCTTGTCCATTGTCTACTGTTTGTCTATATATTGTCTTGATCCACTGTCTGCACTTTCTGTTTTTAAACTTTTTTAACAATCGAGAGACTTTGTGTAAGTAAGAATTCCATTGTACCAGTACGTGTACCGGTTACATACAGCAGTAAAGTTCCTCCATCTGTGCAGCTGCCCCCTTGGTTCCTAGAGTCTTTTGGCTGTTGCCAAGCAGGTTTAAACACATTTAGCTATACCTGTGTATAAAAAAGAAACACATTTCGATACCTTTAATGCTTGGGTGTTAGTATTCCTCATGAATGTTTTTTTAAAACTCTCAGCATTGTTTTGTTTGTTAATCTGTTGTGCTCATGTCCATCGATTTTGAATTGCTATAATGCCGCCTATTGCTCTACCTGAAGAATGCTTCATATTTACTGTACTTACTGCCCGAAAACACAAAAGGGATTTAGTGGCTAAATGGCTTTCTTCTCAGTGGCTGAGCTCCGTACAGCACCGGCACAGTTGTTCGATGATGCCCTTCATAAAGGTATCACATAAGCAAATAAGTCATCGTTAATCAATGATACTCATTTCTTTCTCACAAGCACGTTACACTATATCTTTGACTGTTCCTGAGCTGCCAGTTCCATCTCACAGACAGATGTGCAGTGAATCCCTCAAAAAGGCAGACGTGACCGTGTCTTTGCAATGTCTGCACACGCTGTTGCTTAAGTACTGTCTGTACAAACTAACTACCTCTCCTAATTACAATTGTTTTAGAACAAGTCCCGGCTGTAGGCGTTGTGGTATTCTTCAGACTCAGTCTCATCTAAGTGAAATTACGCCGTCTGTAAGAACACTCCCTCGCAGACCCCTGTGCCACTTTTCCAGGGCTACAGTATCTCCATGACCCTAAGCACTGCGACCTGCCCTGCCAGAGACCGAACCGTAAAGTGTGTAAACCTGTCAGGGAACACACGGTCCCAGTACTTCATTCATAACAATTTCAGTTCCAAAACATCCTATCAAAGCAAATTGGTGAGGTCACTAAGTCACTAACAGCAAGTGAAATTCTGCAATTTCCCTCACGGGATCAATAAAGTATCTATCTGAAAGGAAATGTCTGCAGAATGAAGGCTGTGCTATACATTCGTCTAGTGAAGTATCTGAGAGAAGATTTGTTTCCTACTTATGGCGTAGAGAACGCAAAAACTTAAAATAATCGAATGTACAGGAGGATACAAATTTCCTGCTCAATGCATATTCCCAAATTCTAATTGAATGAATGCAATTGGATGCAAATGCAGACAAACCAGCTGCAGGGAGAATTATAAACAAACATTCAAATAATGTCTCACTAACTTCTACTATATTATATATTTTACTATAAGAAAATAAAAGGAATCTGGCACATTCAGTGTAGCTCAGTCTAGACCTGCATGAAATCTTTCACTGCAGAGTTTAAATTTTGTTTCATTTTCTGTTTTTTTTTCTGAGATTGCTGACACTGAGTTGTCAGTTAATTCTCACAAAGTTGAATTTCTTCTGATGGAATTGATTATGTATTTATTAGTGTAGTCAAGTGTTGTGTCACACCTGCTGCTGCACTTGGTCAGGGTCCTAAAAAGGGGGTGACCAGTTTCTCTTGCTCTGCTCACCTTCCTGGACCAGTGTTTCCTGCTCCTCACTCCCAGTGCGAGTCTACATCTCTTCAGCTATGAATGAATACTGCCAAAAGTTTTCTCTTTTAAAGGAGTTAATAATGAAGGAATAATTAACAATATTGACATTCAATTTTTAACTACAGATTCGCACTTTTATCTGTGTGAAATTGATGCTGAATAAAAGTAGGCCATTTAGATGCCATGACACTTTTCTTCCTGGGATCGGTAAACCAGGGAAAAATGTTGAATATTTAGTCTATAAACCTACGCAGACTAACTAACTGTAGCATTTCGTTGGTCTTCAAAGCATGTTCCAAGGTCTACTGAAAACAGAATGTGTGCACTTGTGGGCGTAGATAAGTAGAACTCATTTTTTTTTTGTAAAAGTTACATTTTTTTTAAATGGGCAAATTGTTTCAAATCATGTACCATGCTTGTGGACGTATTTCCTTTCATTAACTGTGAAGAACGAAATGGCACTTCCTGGTGTTTAAATTGATTTATGCAGATTATTAAATTACCAAGATCAAAGGTTCTGTAAGGTTTCCTAACACTTTCCCAATGGCACTGTCTGATTTACTTTCTAAGGCATGAGCACTTGAATCCGTAATTACTCCAGGGTTATGCGTAATTACTCACTTATATACATCTGATAAACGTGTATTTATGTGTGAAGATAGACTGAATCAAAGGGCGAGACTCTTGAAAGGGCTCGGTTCAGCAGCAGGTGATGCAGTTGATTTCCGTTGCCCGATGCGACAGGGCTTTGTTGTTGCAAGCTGCATATTTATCTGGAACCCGGCTGGTGTGACGAATGGGAACATTCCAGACTGTGACACTGAGGAGCCCAGTTCTGGGGGCAACCCGCTTCTCTTGGGGCGTGACTGAGTACTCACTGCAGCGCAAGATCAGCACACCCCTGTTATCTATTAGGAGGCGAGCCTGCTGTGTGTCTGGCAAGATAACTGTCCTGTTGCTCTACACTGTCATGTCACCTTCTTACAGAAAATCAGACGGCTGAACGCATTCTCTCAAAAACAGAGAACTGTATATGCAGCCCATTCCTAATTTAATCATGGTGCACCAGGAAGGAAGATGCAATATATTCAAAATTTGAAAGAATGTGCTTTTTTATATTCTTTTCAGTACCCATGACCTGCCAAATCAGTACGCATAAGCCACAGTACAGGCTAACTCTAAAGCAATTAAAAGTGTTTTAGTTGGGGTTTTTTCCTGGCTGGAAGGCACACTTTAAAAACAGCTCCCAGACTGAAGCATTAAACATTGCAAACAATGCAGAATGATAATAATTGTAATGTAATAATGTAATTAGTAATACAACATTTTATTTTTGAGCACTTTTTCAATATACACAAAGCTTTTCAACAGCTTGCAAAATAAAATATGTGATAGAAGCAAAAAAGAAGAGGTACAAAGTCACATAAAATTGGCTTTGGAAACCACAAGTAAAACTAAGCTATACATTATCTATTAAAAGCACTAAAGAAACTCCTTAGTCTCAGTTTCTAGGGAATTTGGGCAGTGGCCTCCATTGATATAATTCTGCACATCAGAAAGATTTGTCAC